GGTTTTCCAGGTAAGTTCTCTCCGTTGACAGTGAGACCCATGGTTGTGATATCGTAATTTTTAAAATTGAACGGATTCTTCGTATATGTGCCGTTAAAGGCATCCGCGTTGACCATTCCAATCACGATACGATTTGGTAAACCACCTTGAAATATATTAGGTTGATTTCCAGACATATTCCCCCGAGGTACGGAGACAACCTTGCAGTCGATCCTGTTGATTGGTATTTGGCAGTGATTTGTTGAAGGAATGCTGGGAATGAGCCAGTATAATACTAGGAGCTACGTTAACTCGTCGTACACGAAACAAACATTCCTCGATGACCACTTTGAAATTGGGATCTTCTGCGGATGATACCAAACAAAACGGATCTCTAGATCTCACCAGCTTGATCTTGATTGGAACAGCACCAAGAATATAACGGTCTTGCGCGAATAGATCAGAATGAAGTCTTCCTTCCATGGCGACAGATTTGCTTTCACGTGTATATGCATGGCGTTGTTTTAATCCCGTTGTCCCAGGATTTTCGCCCCCCCCCTACATTTTCTCCCCGGGGGCGAAATTCCTAGGAATATCGCCCCCCCCCCCGGGGGGGCGAAAATCCTAGGAATTTCGCCCTCCTTTAGGAAATTCGCCCCCTTTAGAAACTTCACCTTTTCTTTAGGATTTTCGTCCTCCGTTCAAAATTTCGCCCTTCCTAACAGTTGCATGGGATAATTATTACATAGCTTTAATCATTTGAAATCAGTATCAATTCAAAATTGTTAAGACAGAGCTTGAAATAGCAACCGATCACCGATCAATGATCGGCAGGGAATTGCTTATGATCGGCGGAAAAGCAGGGTTTTGGTTTCCAAAAAGCAGGGAAAGTCACGACTGCCGATCACCATGATCGGGAACTTTGGGTACGTTATTTCAAGCCCTGCATGTAAGAATACAAATTTACGAATTACATGTATCGAAAGGGCTTTACACAGTTACAGTAGATCAATACTCAATAAGACTTATGACGCTTCACAGCACACCATGCATATTTTGCAATTTGCATTTTCAGTGTTAATCCTTAAACTCATTGTTAAAAAGTAATCACCGTGGTGGTTATTGTAATTATATGTATTGTTTTGCATCCACGTTTTGTCGTTATCGGAAAATGTATGGTTTGTCACTATTTTTTACTTGCATTATTTCAATATAGTTTGTAAATCTCAGAAGCGAAGGGTAGAACTTGCCAATAGGCAATAATCCCGCAATAATATACGTTTCAAAAAAGACAAGAAAGCTTTTAGTTTTGCAGAGTTACATTCTGAAATGTTTAAGGCATGCACTAATAAAATCAAAGTATCATGAAATTATTTGAATAAACCACACCACATATATAATGTAATTTTCTTTGCGGAAGTGAAGAATCAAGATTACATCACTGACACGGAAAGTTGACGATTCAACGGACAATAGTCAATACGCTTCCCAACACATTCCATAGATTTTTTACTAATCCTATAGTTTATTGTTAGCAAGTGATTACTGTGGCGGCTATTGTTGACACTCGTATTGATAAAATTTGCAAGTGATTGTTTTTATAATATGTTATGTGAATGTAAACTGCCAGAAGAATACGACAACATGATTTTATGCGATCTCTGTGATGGTTCCACTTTAGATGTGTAGAATATGACACTAGTCTAAGTACCTCAAATGAGTGGTTATGCAGACTTTGCACACCACCAGCTGCTAAGAAGACTAAAATGTGTATGTAATTTTGTCTCCTTGTAATAAATAAATAAATCATACAATAAATCTTTTCAATCGTTTTGTTTTTAGATCAAAAATTCAAAATTTATATGGGGGGGCGAAATTCTAGGAGATTCGCCCCCCTGGGGGGCGATATTCCTAGGAGATTCGCCCCGGGGGGGCGAATATCCTAGGAATACCGCCCCCCTTTTGAGAGGGGGGGGGGCGAATCTCCTGGGGGGGCGAATCTCCTGTGACACCGTGTTGACGTTGGCGTCTTGTGCGAGAGGGTTTACTACATCCATCTTTCCAGCTTTATCTTTATAGAACAGTGCTGAGGTCAAATGTGAATCTTTGGCATCTTTACTAAAGTTCAGGATCGTTTCGATATACGCTCGGTAAGGGTAGGCTGTGCTTGATGGGGTGACCAGTTTGTTGTTCAGAAATACTTCAACTTGTGAGAATAATGCATGCATCCAAAGGTTTGAAGGTCCAACTTGAATGTCTGCACCCACATTTCCTCCGGCTGCAGTAGTGATCTTTGCTTTAACGTATAGATAACTGCTTGCTAAGTCGGTATAAACTCCAGAATTTGCAGCACAGAAAAATTCTATCGTATCTGAAGAAGATAAACTCGTAATAGGATCAATATCTTTCCAAAATCCTTTTTCCATTACCACTTGAGTCGGTGGAATAGAAAATAAATCGAGTTCAGATTTTGAGCACATACAGGAGTCTTTATGCATTGTTTCAAGAGCCATGCCACTTTGGACTATAGTTGTCGAGAGATGTTTTCTGCTTCTTGGTTGGACCGCGAATGGAAGTTTTAGCTGGCGCTGCTCTTTTTATACCCTTTTTGCGACCATTTCCGGTCATTACTTTCTTTGCAACATCAGATACTGCTTGTTTTCCTCGTGATTTAAAAGCTTCTTTTACCTTTTTTCCTTGGAGTACATCTTGACCGACATCTGTGGCTGCTTGCAATGCTCTTTTGCCAACAACTTTAGCGCCTTGCTTGAACAGAGGGATAGCATATCTCGCAAGGCTTTTGAAAATACTTCCGATCCCATATCCCCTTTGCATACGTGCACCACGAAACCCAGCGATATTCCCACCACGCTGTTGTCTCAAGAAATGGTCTTTCAATAGTTTAGCATCCACAACTAGTCTTCCGCGCATTTTTAGATAAAGTACTGAGATCTCTTCTGTCTAAAGTGAAGTGTTGCGATTGACTTGCCGAACTCAAATAAGACGTTTTCGTTTCGGCCATTCTTTATATTCACTTCAACGGTCTCAAAAGAATTTACTTTGACAGGTACGTATTGCAAATTACGAAAACTGGCGTGAACGGTGTTTCCATATTCCCCTTCGATATTAACGATTCGTAGTAAAGGTACTTTCACATCGCCCACAAACTGTGCATCAACGATATCAGTATAGACATACATGGAGGAAAATCCACCATTGATATCTGCAGGATAGGGACTCGACGTTTTCTTTTCAATAAGTGTGTCCTGGTCAAATCCCAAGACCGTTGCTAATTCTCCGGTAAACCACACAGTTGTGTCGTGTTTTACATCAACCAAAACTTTGCGAGAACTACGATTATAACTAAACTTCACTTTCGTTTGTGTTTCTTTTGACATGCCGGCATTGAGTGCTTTTGTTAGTTGCTCAATAGAAGAATATTGTGTTTCTTTAAGCACGACAGTTTGATAAGGGTTACTGCCAATTTTATACAAAAACGTTTGTTGCACTCCACATTTTAGCGTGCTCCACATATGTGGGTAATGCAGTTCCGTCAATGCCGCTTCCCATTGGCCTGGCAAGACAATGGTTTCGGTCAATTTCACTTGAAAATTTGCCACTGTATTATTTTGAAAATAAGCCATAGAACTATTACTCGGTAACGTGAGATAAAACTGTGTTGCCATATTGAAGACCAACACACAAATGAATACAAGTTATGAGTTTCAAATATATTTATTTCAGATCTTTTACACTTTCTGCTGGTACCCAAGAATTAAACTTGTCAGGGTAACCCAACCATTTTACATAATACTCTTTACGTTTATTACGCATGCGTGATCTTATTACTTTTTCTACCCTATAATAGTCACTGTCTGATTTGTTGACCTTCTGAAGTTCCTGTCCGTAAAATGTTCCTTCTAGTTCTTCACCGTCATAATCTGCAATCTTGTAAACAGGCGGTCGTCGAGGCACGCGTTTCGTTACCGTGAACACTTCTTCAGTCCAATTGGGCAAGTATCCTTTCTTAAATGTTCGCTTTGCTTTGCTAATCCGCACTTGGTCCCCAATGTTAAACTTAAACTGGATTGATTTTTTCGACTCCTTCCCGTAGAGTGTTTGCCACACAATATTCTCGTTACTTTTATTCACATCGACCGGTCTCATACCAATACTACGATGTCGAGAATGATTATAAGATTTGACCAGTTTCTGGAGAATATCCACGTACTTGAGCGTATTGTTCGCTGTAAAGTATTTCCACATTTTCGTCTTGAGCGTATGATTAAACCTTTCAACAATCGATGCCTTGGTTTTGTTGTACGTCGTAAAAAATCGAATGCTATGTTTCTTCAAAAAGGTTTGAAACTGTCTATTGATAAACTCCGTTCCCTTATCAGTGTGAAACATTTTCGGTTTACGGCCTTTCTTGATTATTTTCTCAAAGGCTTTGACAAGATTGTTCCCAGTTTTTGCTTTTATCGCTTCAACCCACGCATATTTGCTGAGTACATCAATAACAGTTAAAACGTACTTGTACCCATTATTCTGTTGACTTAATCCATAATGACTAAGTCTGCCTCCCACTCATCATCCAAGGCTCCAACTATAACACGGTTACGCCTGAAGCGATATCTCACACATTTATGCAATGAATAAGCATCTTGCTTTTGTAACCATTGGCGTATTTTATTCCGCGATATCTCATATTTCCCTTCGTTTTTCACGGCGCGATAAACGGAATCTACGCCACCAAAACTTGCGGGGCTTTCTGGATCGTAATAGATCTGGCTTAGATATTTCTCCGCCATCGATGTCTGAGGCTTGAATTACAATTTTTCCACCACAGCAAGCAGAAATACAGCGTACTTTTCGAAAAATGTTTCGAAGAGAGATTTGTGGTAAACCTTTACAGCAAGGCATCCTCACTCTTCAGAGGTTTGAACAAAATGAAACAGCCAGTAATTATAGACTGATATATAAAGCTATCAGTGTGAGTGAGAGTGTTATTAAAATTGGACGTTTACTTCGTTTATGTTTGGGAATAGTAAAAATTCGACATGCCTCGATGGTTTTTTGTACATTGTGACGAATAGATTCCTCGCTATCATTTTGTACACATACCAAAGCTAAATAGGCAATAATACAACCAAAGTTTGTTACATTGATCTCTCTGTAGATTTGGTCAAGGTTTAGATCACGAGCATTTACTGCACGATATAGATCTCGATGGCGGTCGAGAATTGTATTTATATGAAACGATAAAGTTTGCTTATCAATATCAATTTCATTTCGTTTCAACTCATCAAAAATTATATCTATGTTATCCATGATACTCTCACCACAACGATTGAACAACAAATGAGACACACAGTATTTATTTCAGTAAATATATGCAAATTTACATTAATTAACTAGCAACGTATTATTATTACAAGAGGTCTATTTTATCAAGTTCACTTGTTAAACCAAATCTACGAAATTCATCATAGGCCTCCCTAGTGTTAGATTTAGAACTATTAAATGTCTCTCCTGTTTCTTCAATCATGTACTGGTATTGTAGTGGATTACTGAAGAGCACGATGCCAGTGTTGGTCACCCGAGGGCCTTGTTGCTTCCATTCGAAGAAACCACAAGAGTCGTCCTTCGGACAGCAGTAAAACAGACGGTTTTGATTCGGACCATCTTTCTTGACTTTTCGTTCACAGCACACCATTCCATGTTGACATAACGGTCTTGGACCTTCGAACACGTCTCCCCATTGCCAGAACTTGCAGGGATTCTTTCGCTCAGAACATACGAAGAAGGGTCGTCCGTAGTTATCTTTCATTGTGTCTTTGACCACACATAACTTGGCATATTTCTGATGTGTAGGACATACGGGATGTATAGAACCACTTGCACGAAACGCAGCTACAGCTCTCGTATACATATAACAATTTTCGTCCGGGCAAAAGAACTCACAGCTTGGTTTTTCCCCACAAAACCAAAATGTACCATTGTTTGTAGTTGTAGAGGCAGCAGCTTTTCCGTGTAGACACTCCATGACTGATGTAGAACTAATGCAAAACTATGCTTGTTACAAGACGCTTGTCGATTTTATACAGACGCTCGTTAAATCAAACAACCAATCATAGTAAGCCAATCTTAATTCCTCCATTGTATCATACACGAGGAGGGACGATAAAAAATGCGTAGTCAGCAAGTTTCGTCCGCTCGTGTTTAAGCTTGCCCGCGTGACGTCATTACTTACCTGATCCTACCCGCGTGACGTCACTACGCACCCTCACTTGTGCGGCCCCCTTAATTACCTGCATATATAATGATGCGCCGCCCCCTTGCATAGTAATTACCTGCTGAATCCCTAAACTCTTTCAAGTCGATATTGAAACAAAGAATGAGTTGAAATTTGCTTGCGTATAATCGTGCAGCTAAAATCAATTGTATTTATTTATTTTGTTATATTTTGTATTTCATGTATATAGTTAACTTTTTGTAAATAGGTAATTTCACGCCCCTCATGGAAACCAGCCTTCCAACGGCTGTTGAGGCTAGCGTGGTCTAAATAAAGTTTTGTATGTATGTATGTATGTATGTATATATAATGATGCGCCGCCCACGCCGCCCCAAAAATCCAGATCGATCGGTACCTATATTACTACTCACGTTATGTTTCAAATTTTCATGCTTGACTCTAGTATGTCTTTCAAACTACAACCAAATTTTTCCTACATCGTAGCAACTTTATTAATTTAGTATCTCATAAAATAAAATATTAATAGCGAGTCCTCGAGTCCAGAACTGAATTTGACTGGGCTCCTGGCTCGAATCCTGACTCGAACTATACTATGTCTCAACAAGATGTGTTCGCAACAGACTTGTAGCAAGCTTGTCAACAAGTTGTAACAATGCTGTTTATATTTTATCAAGTTGCTACAAGGTTGTCACTCACAACTTGTTGAAAAATTGTTGAGTTGCAGGACGATAACCACGACGATAACAAGTCGTTGGCACAACTTGTAACAAGTCTGTTGTGTTGAACAACTTTGTAGGAACTTGTCACCAAGCTGGGAGCAAGTAGTGAATACATCCTGTTGACAAGTTGTTGGAACAGCATTGCTACATTGAAGTCTACATTGCTACAGGTTTGTTACAACTTGTGCATTTTTGTGTGTGAACTTGGAATTTAAACTTTGTCCACTGTCTTAGTTTTTTGCTCACGCAGCCTCGTATTCAGTTTATTTGCTTTATCGTATTAGCGAGCTTAAGATACACGGCAAATCTACGACGCGTGTGTGACATAAAAACCGTTGCTAATGTTTGGAATCCAGTTTTATTTTGCTTCACTTGTGTCTCTGACTTTGTGTAACAATTGGAAGCCATAATTTTTATCCGTCTAGTGAAACTGTGGGAATAGTTACAGTTTTTCTTCATGTCCGCGTCGTAGATTTGGTGCATTTTAAGCTCGCTATTAGCACGTACCGAAGTGGCTCTAATAGGATTGTCTCTAAACTTTAGGTAATATTTCAAATCCGACTATGAAGACTGGACAAGATTTCAAGTCCTCGCAATTTGGTCACGTCCGAGGCGAAGCCAAGTCTGGATCAAAATGCGAGTACAAGAAATTAGTAGTCTAGTCTGAATTAGTGAATTAATTGGAGAATTTGAAATGACATCTCATACGAATAAATCACTACTTAAAGTGAGGTGAATTAATTTTGATCCAGTCCAAGGACTGAATTAAGTATTAAGGACTGGATCAATATACTTCACCAGGTATCCAGTATGATCATGTGACCAAAATAAAGCAATATATGGTTGGCTAAGTTACTCATGAGTTTGAGATTCAATTTTAGCCTTCATAATGAGGTAGCAATCAATGGATATTCACTCAGCAATATTATGATGATTATTATAACTCACCCATTTGCTCTTGGGGCTGTATAGAGCGATGTACAACGACCAGGTCATCATAATATGAATTGTTGTCCACCAGAATATTGCGAGATATATTTCCGTTTGATATATTCATTTCATTTACATAGAATAGATCATTGTTCATGAAGTACAGTGAATCTCCAAACACCACCAGTAAATGATCATTGAATGATCCACTCTTAATAGTTTTCTGGTCCGAGCCATCGGAATCACTTGAAACAATATGGTCAACGCCGGATTGAATCTCGTTCTCCATCCAGTAAACTCGGTTCTTGGTGCAGTCAACAGTAATAGCGTAAGGTTCAGAGAACGTCCGGTTTAACAACATTACTATGTCACTGTAGTTGGGAGCCAAACTTATTTCCCTTACTAACTTTGCAATAGGCTCGGTCCAAAACAAATACCTATGGAACAACAAAGGACGATAATATTAAAAGACGGGTACAACTCCTTCTCCTTAGGTTTGTTGTAAGCTTTTTGTTTAGGTACAGACGCACAATCCACCAGACCACCACAGTATACAACAGTTATAATGCTATATCTAGTTAAAATAGAATATATATATATATATATATATATATATATATATATATATCTATCTATCTTAAGGCCGTACAAAAAAAGTTTTGTCTTCTCTCGAACGTACTTCAGGATGTAAGATTCCGCACCAAAATTTCGTGCGAGGAAGGCTGCTTATGTTATTCACAACGCTCAATAAATCTTTAATAGAAAGCTTCGGTACACTGTTTAATACTCGCTTGTTTAAATCAGCTTCAATATCTTTGACATTTTGTCGATCGTCATTCTCAAAAGCAGCCTTTACGGTTTGTAAATACTAACAGGCATGGCTAGTATTAGTTCAAAATTTCTGATAGTAAATCTTCCCATTGAACTTTAATAATTTGCGGTCAAGCACAAAGTAGCGATCAGAAAGGGCCAGAAACGTCATAGACCTTTCCGTGCACTAATGAAGTCTGAACGGTATGAACGATCAAAAAATTAGCCAATCGGATAGCCTGTATTCGAGCCCCTGATCGCTGAACTCCCCACAGATCGCGCAGAAAATCGAGATAGCCAATCAGATGGCTGGAATCTGACTCAGAGCGTGCAAAACTCATGCGCAAGACCGCTTTTCTGCGCGTTCATTTTCGAAGGCCTTGCTACTGAATGATCTTTCAAAACTGAACTGTTAAACTTTCAATACATTACACTGCGCGAAGTTTGATTAACGCTGCCCAAATCCCAATCCGGGACGAACCGTCCGAAACTGACCACACCCAAAAACCACGCTTTCGCCATAGTGCTATCTACCAAACCATGAAAGCTTTGGCGATTCTGAGGTGCTTATATGATTCAGAGATGGTACTTTTAGGGGTGGTCATTGGTAAGTGTGAAATGCCTAGTACTGATATTCTACAAGAAAATGACCATGCAATATAGTATATACCCATAATCAAACGTCAATTTGTGGCTTACAACTTCAGATAAACAGCAGTGAACCTACATTACCTTTTTTCGTAAACATTTTTGATAGAAACATAATTGGTACAAATAAGAAGTAATACAATGATATGAGGGAAATTAGTGACTAAATGTCCCCGAACGCCGAGGGAGGCTTGTGGAACTTCCCGAGGGTGAGGGACATTTAGTCACTAATTTCCCGGCATATCATGGTATTAATTTGTAATAGTTAACCTGCACCGAAGCACGAAAACGAACGAATAGCCTCATTATTGAACGACTGCACCATTCACATTCGTTCAACTCAACGTTAGTTTGTATTGGGTGAGACAAGTTAGCCTGCGTAGCAGGCGTTTAGTGCGGGCGGGAGAGACGCCCTCTCTTCTCCCGCCCGCACTGAACGCCTGCTACGCAGGCTAGAGACAAATTTAATTGTCATATTCGTTTTTTTTAGTTGAGCTATGGTAGCGTTATTAGTTAACATGCACCGAAGCACGTAAACGAACGTAAAGCCTCGTTACTGAACGAAACAATTGTCAAAACTACAGTTGGCTGAAAGCACTCAATCCATTCTCAACCGTAGTTGTGGACACTAACACAATTCTTTTTGCCAATTATCGCGTGTTTACAATTTATCTTATCGTTATCATTGTGTAGTGTGACCGGGCCTTTAAACTTTCATAAGCTCGCCAACCTCGTACCCAGGGCCTTTGCGCGGTTCAGAGACTACCAGAGCCTCTGGACCGCGCAAAGGCCCTGGGTACGACGTTGCGCATAAGCTCGCTTGCTTATTGGTCAAGAAGGCAAATTATGAATTTTCGTCAGCCAGACGTACGTATACGATCATCACATGACGTTCCAAAACAAGCGTACTTATGTGTCGAAACTCTTAAAAACGGGCTTGCTGGTTGGTCGAGACAGCACATTCTGAATTTTCGTTTAGTGAGTAAACTGATATATTCTAATCGTGAAAAAGAAGTGACACTATATATAGAAATTGTGCTATTATTATAATTTGAATGCCTGCATGAGCTCTACTGAATGTATGCTGAACAGAAGAAAAAACAAGAGTGCGTAAACAAAAAAAGGAACAACAATAGGATAATTTCTATATATCACACATAACTAATTAACGTCAATTCGTCAACCGGAGGTTAGTCTCATAATAATTTGTTTTTACAGATCTAAAGTACATGGCGCATAATTAACTGAGCCTGAAGTAACTTGAAGTGTCCCTGTATATAATGCAATTATATTTACAGAAAGGAAAGTTAACTCTCTTTAGCTTTGGGTTATAATAAGGTTATTAGATTGGGCGCATGTTCTAACCAGGAATAATAGTCTATACAACTCTCACTAACAGACCCACTTTCAAAATGCTTGGTTAATTCACTCGGTAAAGGGAACGGAAAGTAAAAGGATCATAGTGAATTTGTCTCCTATCTTCTCTCTTCATTTGCGAGTAAACTGTTGGGCCTACATCACGTGCAATCTGCAAAAAGGCCTCGACACTTTCTCGCGACCATTGCATGAACGCCAAACGCACAAGAATATTTACACCAAAACAGTGATAATATACTTATAGGTAAGTACCAATTATGTTTCAAAACAATTTAGGAAAAAAGGTAATGCAGCTCCACTGCTGTTTATCTGAAGTTGTAAGCCACAAATTGACGTTGAATTAAGAGTACTGAGTACTGCATAGTTATTTTCTTGTGAAACATCAGTGTTAGACATTCCGCACTTACCAATGACCACCCCTAACAGCACCATCTCTGAACCATATAAGCACCTCAGAATAGCCAAAGGTTTAATGGTTTGGTAGATAGCACTATGGCGAAAGCGTCGTTTTTGGGTGTGGTCATTTTCGGCCGGTTCGTCCCGAATTGGGATTCTTCGTGCAGCGTTACCATGTCGACCGTTGTGCATTATCGCCAATTTACAAACTCATATACTGGTCCATAACTATACGTTCTATTTTGTAATTGTCTCCATCAGTAAAAACAAATTGTCTGCCTCGCTACAGCCTTTGAAAGGGAAAATGCACTGAAGTACTTCTTTCCAATATAAAAAGATTAGAAAGCATAGTATGAAAGCACAATACTGTAGATGAGGAGAAATACCAAAACTTGTATTGTAGTATCGCCACGAAAAACTACAAAGAACCTATTACAGAACTCTATACGAAGAGTGTGTATTCATTGTTTAAAAGATTAAAAGATTTGATCGGCTTAGCATAATCTCTGTGTCACACAATCCAGAAGACAGGGACTGGAAACACAGGCTAATTAAAGCGTTAAGCTGATCTGCCATCCCTGTCTTTTCGGTTGTCTATGGTCTGACTCAGCCGCAATGCCATGATTATTTCTTTCTCAAGAAGAAAGAGCCTGGGAACGAGGTTGAGGTCCCGGAAGCATCTGAAAGGTGAAGAGGGGCGGAGGGGGGCGGGGGGCTCTAACTAAAAGGGGCTCTCCAGGGCGGATCTATTTTGAAATTTTACCGTGGCTACTGGACCTCGCACAACTACGGGGCTCGGGGATACGCTCCCCCGGGAAAAGTTTGGATTTTAAGCCTCGGAAATGCCATTTTCTGCATTCTGAGCCTCGGATTTCGTCCTAAAATTTCTCCTCAATGAACCCGTATTTCAGACAAAAAGTAATGAAAAACAAAAAAAATAAACGAGGGGAGCATGTTAAAGTCAACATAAATTAAAAATTTCGAATTGTCTGGGGTCGCATTTTTGCACCTTAACTTTTATGACCGATCTTACGCTTCCAAATAACTAGCAATCTTTGTCTAACATATTCATCTAAACTTTTCAAAAAAGGCCAAATTTTTCTCATTTCAAAAAAGTGGGGTCTCCGACCCACATTGCCCCCCTCCTGCTCATTTACACGGTCCTTGGCCACGATTCGCAATAATTCGTCATCAAATATATAGCACATCATAAAGAAATTCTTCAAATCAATAAACTTACCTCCATGTTGCATCCATCGCTATACCGGACGGGTAACTCGTTGTGTTTATTAGCACAGTTTTATTTTTTCCATCCAAATTCGCTAAGAAAATCTTCTTTTTTGAATATTCAGCCCAGTACAGACGACGTTGAGTCCAGTCAACTGCCATGTCATCAGCACTTACATTTTGTAAAATGACTTGTACGCACATGTCAACCAAGTTTATTCTTGATATGCTGTTATTGTCTGCGATATATAAGTTGTTCTCCACGGTGTCAATTTCCATCCTCCCACGTGCAAGGCCACCGATGACGACAGTTGTGTTCAGGGTTGTCAAATCAATGGCGTGGATTTCAGACTTTGATTTGATCAGCAAGTAAGGTTCAGCAGAGGGTCCTGCAGAAAGAGCGACACATCAGTACAGACTATTTGTATAGAGTTGCATTGAACTGTTGTTCACATTTTATTTTGCTTTTTTGTTTTCATTTTATTTTGCTTTTTTGTATAAAAGGTTATTTTGTTTAAGAGTGAATGTATGTCATGTTACAGATCAGTACATTTGGAAACCTTTTAAGGTGTTGAAATGAAATTTGGAAACGCAAGGAATCAATTTCAGAAATCTTTGGGGAACAATTTTAAAGAAATGAAATTCATCCCCTGACATTTTTATTTTCTCATGAAAAATTATATAGAAGCACCTGTTGCAATTTCTGAATTTATAAAAACTACAATCAATTTTTAAAAGAAAGAAGATGATTGTATGAGCAGACCTTATATTGATTTCCATATGCTTTAAAAGGAATTTAATATGAAAGCAAAATATTCTCTTGAATTTGGACTTTACTGGAATTATTTTATAGTCAGTTTGCATGATGCGCTTTTTTGCGCTATCATACACCTGAGTTTTTTCAGATGTATAATAGTTTCAAAGCTTTCGTTGATAGGGATACAACTACCTCAAAAATACAAGGAGAATTTCGAGAAGATCGTATTTCGAGAAGATCGTATCAAGGAGAAGATCGTATTTTTAGGCAGATATCACTAAATATCAGGATGTTTCTTCGTTCAATTTATGTCAGTTTTGGTAACACATAGTTCGTTACTATGGCAACCATGCTTACCAATTTCACTCTAAGGGCTAATTGCTTCGAATATAGTTGGACATGAAACACGATGACCCCAATCTTTTTTCCGTACACTATTTTATTTATATACCATGCATAGACTATAACAGTATGGGTAAGATATTAAAAAATTCTGTAATGCTAAACTCGCAAAAATAACGTTTTCTTCGATAAAAATGTTTCAACATAGGTGACCGTACGAAACAATGAGATTATATAGCGCACTGTTTTTGGCATTTTTAATGACGTTAGCAATTGACATGCAATGCGTTATGCTGAAACACATACAATGGCGTTATGCTGAAACACATACAATGACGTGAGTGGCGTCAGCAAATCGCCACCACTGGAAAAAATAGTGAAATCTATACTATGAAATTTGCGATTGCATTACTAAATCCAAAATATATCCATGTACTATTTCCATAATATATCCACAGTATGGAAATTGCAATTAGACTTATGAAAATTGGATTTCCAGATTATTTTCTGCTAAGATTCAAACTATTTCCATGGAGCCACCTTAATTAAAGAAATGTCTTCCACAACCGAAAATATAGGTTCTTTCCTGGAATTATGCATTATTCTTTATTTTGATGCATCAGTGACAAAAACATTCAGGCCCAGTGTACTTCATTCGTAAAGTAGCTTAAACTACAGTTTAATATTACCTTTATAAAAGCATATCTTTGTGTACAAACACGTCCTCTCGTGATTGTATTCTTTCTCTGCTTCACAAAGCGGTGTAGCAAGATTTTCACCTTCAACATTCAAGCATCTTTTACTCCAGTCTTTCTCGTCTTCTCTGAGTTTTTTCAGCCGCTTGCGACAAAACGGAATATCATTATTACAAACGACCAGACTTGTACCAAAATATATCAAGATATGAACGCCAACAATGATCTTTGTTGCAATAAGAATCATTTTTCTTATCTTTTGTCTTTCTAAAAGTTGTTATAAAGGAAAAAGATTTTGGGCATTTCGCTCAATAGAAATAAATATTGAAGAGATTTTGATGATGACAATTTCGAGCGGAAATTATACAGCTTTTTATATACCTGAGCAGCTGCGAAAATGCAACCATAGAACCTCTTATCACTAAAATCATATGACTAAAATCATATAAATTTTTAAGCTATTATAATTGTATTTTTTCTAATAATAATAACAATGAATCTAAAGTTAGAAATACATCGTCGCCTGAGGATCGCGAAGAGCGTGAAACTCAGAGTTGCGACATTATTTCATTTTAAATTAAGCAAACAAAATAGTATAGAGCTAAATTTATTTATTTATGAAAAAAAACAAAAAACAAACGTGATTATATACTCAGAGTTTCATGCCTGAGTTTACAGACAATCCTCGGCCAACTGAAGTTCTGTTAACTATATAAATTAAATGCTTAATTTCCCCAATTGGGAATATATGATATGGGTAATACGCCTTGAAGTGTATACAGGTGCATGGAAAAAACATGCCTTCTGAAAATTCTTTGAAAAGTCAAATTTAATAAGATAAATGAATAAAAAGACTATTAAAGACTTTTGGTAGACCCTTAGCCCTATAATCAAAGATTATTTTGCCCATACATAATGTAGAAAGTCGGATTTAGGCGAAGCTTTAAACACTGCATGATAAAAGATTTAAGTATAACTTTCAGAAAATAAACATACTTCAACACGGCTGTAGCATATGTTTAAAATTTGTACACCATAATTAAAATTCGTGCTTGTTTAAAATAAAAATCGAGGTTTTTGTGGTTGCGAGTTTTGACATCAGCAGATAAAATAATTATTGGAATGTATAAAATTTAAAAAGGCGCTGTAATTTCATTAGACTTGTCTGAAATTTGAACCTATACCTCAATTTAAATGCCGTGTTTCTTTAATAGATAAAATATTCCTTCACCTTGCAAAGCCTGCAGCTGTATTGAAGTGGGACGTGTCGAACGTGTGACGATCTTTAAACAACCTTGGCGTCTCTCGTACTCTCATCCAAGAGGGTAAGTTGATAAATGAATTTTTAATAGAAATTTCCAATATTGTCCTAACGCGCACTTATGTACTAAGCAACTAAATTCAACATCACATATACAAAGGCAACTTGAAAGTTCCGTTTTCGGACCTTCAAGCGATATACACAATTTGAGATTACTATATTAATATGGTAAAATCATTAATAACCAGTGAACAATAATAGTAATTTTACCCAAGAAGAGATGAAAAAATAACTTTTCAAAAAAATGTCACCTCATGCATGCACTTGTTATTTTTCATTGCACGTGATTAATCATTTTCGAATTCTAGCTTTTCTTGTTTCAGAAACAACCGCATAGCTTGGGTGATAAAAAAGCACAACCATAATTTGCTAACAATTATAAAGCGCAGACCAAATACATTAAAATTAAATACCAGAAACTCTATTACAGAAACGCACAACAATCCCTGTTTCCATGCAACGAGCTATTTTACGTTCAGTCCACTGTGAATATTCGTTTTCGGGACAAATGGAATTTCAAACTTTTTCGTGCATTGTGATTCCAGGGAAGAGCCTGGGAACGAGGTTGAAGAAAATTATAATTTTTTTCAAAACCTAATGCATTTAATGCATTTAATGAAATGTTTGCTTTGGAATTCGTTCGGCTAACTACGCGTCATCTTACAAAGGAAAATTAATGCTTGTTTTCTGCTAACTATACACTCTAAAAACATCCTGGTTAAATTTAACCAATATGGGGTTAAATTTTAACCAGGAAAGTATTCCATATGGGACCGACGCAGTCCTGGTTATATTAACCAGGAAATCCTGGTTCCATTGATTAACCAGTTATTCCTGGTTAATTTA